CTAGGTGGCAAAATTTTGAATGAAATACGATGAAAAACGACATAGTATACGACTGTGTGCGACCGTTTACGGTGGTCGTATACACGTCGTATACGACACGACGATATACGGCCGTAATTCAGGTGTCAAGTAATACGGCGAAACACGGTCGTATACGATCGTAATGTACACTGTATACGACCGTTCACGATCGTATACGACGTCGTATACGATCGTTTACGATTGTCGTAATGCTCGTCCTGGGCGGTAAAGTGCCTTTTGCGCCGCCTTGCATATTGTATTTTCCCATTGCTTTTGTCTACCTGTGACAAAAAAAATTTTTTTGGTTAAGATCAATAATTATACTTAAGGTTCCCCCCCCCCCCCCTTCCTCAAAATGATTTTCCACTTAGAATGGTCCTTTTGCGCTGAAATTTTCAGGGATGAGTGATCCTGGAGAGATACGCTTTCGGTAAAAATTTCAGCTCGAATGGTCGTACTAGACCGGAGTTCCAGCTGATTCATAGGTCATTTTTGGCCTTCAGGAGAATCGACAAAACTTCGTCGTCAGATGAGGTAGAGAGCTCGGGCTAGTTTTAAATTAAATCTGATGTCAGTACGCAACTTTTGTCCGAACAGAATTTTTATATTTCTTATTGTTCATTTATAATGAGCATTTTAGTGCGAGTGTCTTAAAATTAGCATAAAAAATGGTAGTCCAACGACAGTAAATTCCACTTTTCTCAGCCCAGGAACAAACTTTCAAAAATCCGTTCGGACAAAAGTTTACTCTGATCAAGACCTTTGAAACAAAAAAAAAATATTGGTAATAGCTCGAAAAATGAAGGAGGAGTTCCAATTTTTCTGACTCGAAATCATGTTCTGAGAAAAACCTTAAAGAAGTTTTAGAAGTGGTTTTTTTCGGTCAAATTCAAAAAACTCATATTAAAATGGCATATTTTCAATAAATTTTCTAAAACTATTTTAAGGCGCGTAAAAGATGCAGTAAAACTAACGCCATCTGACATGCGGATTAATATCAAAATGTTCTATTCAATGATAATTGAAGTAGTAACGGAGTTTTTTCAAAACTAAAAAGCTTTAAAAAAACCACGAAAATTTCTCAGAAAATATGGTAGGGAAGTTAAAGTCTGATCTGACAAGTCTTTGAAAAACTGATCATTTTCTAAAAATCTATATGTATTCTGAAAGAGGAAGCTTCGCTCTATCTTCCTGTGGTAAAAACACAATTTCGATATTGTTTGAAAAAAATCGATTTTCTGAGGGGGGGGGGGGGGCTTAACAAAGAATTTCTCTGGGCATGTCTTTATGGATATAAACTTTGAATATGCTTCTTGAATTGATAAAAAATTGACTCATTTTCCTGAGCCGTAACGGAGATATTCAATTTTTTGTCGGTAAACTGACTTTTGAGCCACCCTGTAAATGTACATATGCAAATATGAAAGGATATTTGCAAAACATTGATTTATCTCACATATCTACTAGCGTCTCTGTAGCTACCTGTGTGAAACAATTCTTTCTATGATAGAACGATCGTAGAATTATTACTAGCTAAAATCGATTATATCGATGTAGGATGTTTGCTACGATGATGTAAAAGCTATGAATTTTTCATAAGAAAGAAACAGTGTGACATGCACGATGATAACAATAGAAGAAAAAATCTAAAGCAATCAACCATAGACTTATTTTAATAAAAAAAACTATGAAATGATATCACTAACGGAAGATGATTCATGACCATTATATTTACCCAGAATGAGACCACCACTAATGCGTCCTAACAAATAAATAATAACGCTAACAACAAGTCGTTTTACCATTATATCAGAAACGTAATCACATGATCTTTCATCTTCGTTAAAAGTTTCATAATAATCCATGTAATAAAGAATACGATGTACAAGGTGTAATGTGTAAACGTAGAGAGCCACAAAACAACGCGTGCAGACAATATTATATAATTTAACCATAAATGTTCAAGCCAAAGGTTATGAATTGATAACGCATTCAGATTTTTAGGTTGAATCTCATAGCATTTTTTACTAGGAAGATCGATTGTAGTTAAACTTTCCCAAATATTGCAGTCTGGAAAATCTTTTTTTTTTTTTTTACTCAAATCGACAATGTAATCATTTAACTTTTGTATACTTTGACTTGAAAACTACGAAAGTATCTTTATTATTTTGGCTCAGGTTTGATCTCAATAGATACGATCCAATAGATAGTTAGGATTCCTAACTAAAATTTTCTAAAAATGACGTAAAGTTGTCATTCATAAACTGATTTCAATTTCTCAGAATTAATTATTATGTTGATATTGTTTCAATATTGTTGACAAAAAATTTTCTCTTCGACTAAGTCAATAATATTTTCACATTTTTTCTACGTTCAAATTTATCCTGTGATATTTTATGTGAGACTTTTCTCTTGATGTACATTTCTATTTTCAGGATGAATTTTTAACATTCCTAACACAAAATGTGTAGTTCAAAATATTCCATCAGAAAAATCTTCACAGACGATCGAGCTTTAACTCTGAAATAGACATATGCAACATGGCATCTCATATCGCATTAATCGAAATATTTTCAACAGAAATAAATCGAACTCAATATTGCTTGCCTGAACATAATTCAACGATTTTAGTATTCTTGGATTGACTGATCTTTCAACGTCTATAGTTGTTTTTCTTTTGCTTTATAAGATATTTAGCAAAACAAACACACAAACAGTTCGGAGTAAATTCTTTGTTTTAAAAAATATTTCAATTTCATTCAATAGGATTTAACATCTTAACATCATGTCTTATTTCATGAAAATCTCAATCTTACATCATGTCAATTATTTTATGTCCTGAAAACGCTCAAAAAATCTGTCTGGAAAACGTTATATATAAGGACTTTTGATTCATGAACATGCAAGCTCGAAAAATAGAGCATTTACATTGTCCTAAACTGCAGAATTCTACCATTTTCACACATCATAATAGTCGAACAAAAATTTTTGTGCGTCTGCACGTTAACAATCACGAATTAGTTAACGATTACGACTACTTTTCAGAAGTGTGTGCCTTTAAATACCATAAAAATCGTTTTTTGTGGTGTTGAGAGGCGTGTTTGGAAAATCTTGCCTGGTTCGGTAGCCTAAGATGATAATATACATTAATATGGAAAATGATTTGTAAAGATCTAAGAAGATAACAATAATACAATTATTTCAGCACTCAAAGCAATTATCTCTCTTAAACAGAGACTAATAAAACTTACTATTATTTCAATGAAACAAATTATGGAAAACAAGATTAAATGATTACACATATATATAATTATAAAGAAATTAGAATGTTTCAAAATAATGCTTTTTTTCTTTTTTTTTATTAAACATAAATGAAAAATATCTATAGTTTTTTAGTCTACACAATTTACTGTAGCAAAAGTCAAAAAAAAATCATGTTGGAATAGTATTAGTTGAACCATTTATTCATCAAGTAAAGCATTAACTGAAGCCAAATATTGTTCTTCAGACATTGATCCTTTCTTTAATTTCTTAAAAAAATCATAAAGTTGTGACTTAATTTGTTCTTCATCGTCATCCTATAAAATAGAAAAAAAAACACAATTCGAAATATCTAAAGAAAAAAAGTTCATAGGGGTCAAACACACTAGAAAAATTGACTTAACTTAAGGTTAATTTAAGTAATGTGATTGGTTAATTCAACCTTAAGTTAAGTCAATTGTCTCTAGTCTGTGCGACTCTATGGAATTTATTAAGGAAATACCACTCTTTCGGCCATTCTATTTTCGATGTGTTTAAATGAACAAATAAATGAATGAAAGAGAAAAAAAGACAAACATATTGATATATAGTGTTAAATTGGTCGTCCTTCAATAATATTCCTTTGTTTTGAGAGAAGGAAGAGAATTGGAATCGTCAATGATTAAAACAATGATCGTCCGACATGATCGATGAACAACAATTACTCATCTTTCTATTTCAATCTATTCATTTTTTTTTTTATGGTTCAAACTAGGCAAGAATATTGACGAGAAAATATATTCGACTAAGTCATTTTCTCTCTTTTTTTTTTTCTTCTGAAGATTTAACATTGCTATCAAAGTTAGAAATAATTTGAAAGAATTTTAATTCTTGTTCGATATAAAAAAATTGACATTAATTTATTCAAGAAAAAAAGTTAAAAATTCAATATAAATCTTCTACATCTGAAAACAATCAATCGATATATAATGGAATTTTGTAATTCAATTGATTCGTGAAAAATAGAATTTATATTATGGAAGAATCAAAAAGAAGAAAGTCCAGTTACTAATTCCCAATTTTTATTAGAAATTATTATTTTTAGTTACGAAAGAAAAAAATTTTTTTTTCGAACCTTTTTCATAACAGAATTATCCATTCGATTTGAAGTATATTGAGCAATTGAATCATCATCATCATCATCATCCTAGAATAGAAAAAAAAATTGTAGAATATTATGGTACATTACATTAGTCTCTATAGAGACAAAGATTTTATTAAAACTCTTTGAAATGATGCTTTTAATATAACCTCTTTATCAACATTTTCAAGGGCAGCATCTAATACAGCTGCTGCTTCAAGTCTTCCTTCGTGTTGTGCTTGACGAATATTCATTCGAGTTTTTATTAATTCTTCTACATCCTTTGGATGCCGTTGTTTCATGTGTTTGATGCAATTCTTTTTCACTGTATCAATTGTTACCTTGCAAAACATACATATGTAATTTCCATTGCCTAATTAAAAAATCAAAATAGAAATAAATAGTTGTGAAACAAGAAGATAAAAATCTTGATCTATATATAGTTTTATTTTATTGTTTTTCCTAGTTTTCTTTAGTTGACAAAAAAAAGACTTACGATCTTTATTTGATTTTATATCATCATCAATTAATTTTGCTTGAGAATTAGTGAGACTAACCATCTACAAAGACAAATAAAAATAATATGAATATAAAAACCTTGAGAATAAATATTGATTAATGTTTAATTATAGAAAACCTCTTCATTTGTATGTTCTTCGAATAAGAATAATATCTTGTTGACTTATTAAGTAAAAACAAAAAACAATAGAAGATTTTTAACAATAGATTTCGATAAATAATCTAAAATAAAAAACAAAAATTTGTAATACAATTTTTTTCAATGTTTTATACAATATTAAACAATGATGAAATGTCAACAAATAACTTTATTTATATGCAAACTTGTTCACCAAAGTTAACTTTTATTAATCATAATAATTTATATCTAGATTAGTGTCTTACAATATGGTATCAATTCGATTTGAAATATGATCTTATATCAGTAAGATGATCGTATATAAGAATAAGACGTTTTAAGTTTTAAAATATTTTTACTTTTTATAAATTGTTATTAAAATTGAAAATTTCGATTCGAACAAGAATAAGTATTGCATTATTATTGATCATGTGTAGGCCATAATAGTGAAAACCTATATTGTTTTACTCAAAAAAATTCACTTTTAATAAAATCAATAAATAAAATGATGATGAATACACATTATTCAGATGAAAAAAAAATCATGAAGAGAAAGTGTTGAAACATTTTCATAAGAAGATATTTTTTAACTTTTCTTCTCACTGGATTTTTTAGATTTTTCTTTGTCTTTTTTTAAAATAGTTTATCAATCTATCTAAAAAATCGAAAAGAATTTAAAGGAAAAAATATAATTAATTACGTTTTATACTCATTTTAATTCTTTAATTCTTCGAAATACTTTTTCAAGTCATTAATTCTACTTGTTATATAAAATGATACAAATTATGTATTAAATCTATCAATTCATAAGAAAATGAAATAAACATCAACATGAAATAATAGAAAATTCTTCTATCTAATAATTCTAGTAATTGTTCAATAATAATGAATTGGTTTCATGTTCACTATCGTTATTCGATGCAATTAATTATATAAATACCCAAATCTGTTATATTCTGTCTAGACCTAGGACAGTTCCCAGTTCTATGAACTGTATATTTTCGAAGAACTGGGTATAGTGACCAGTTCTTTTTCCAGAACTGGTTAAAGTGACCAGCTCTTTGACGAGAACTGTGCGCACCCGGCAGTTCTTTTCTAAGAACTGTACACACCCGACAGTTCTTTTTCGAGAACTGGTTATTGCAACCAGTTCTTTTTCGAAGAACTGGATTAAGCGTCCGGTTCTTTTTCAAGAACTGACTACCGTGACCAGTTCTTTTTCGAGAACTGCTTATTGTGACCAGTTCTTTTTTCAAGAACTGGATAAAGTGATCAGTTCTTTTTCGAGAACTGGATAAAGTGATGAGTTCTTTTTCGAGAACTGCTTATTGTGACCAGTTCTTTTTGAAGAACTGGATAAAAGTGATCAGTTCTTTTCCAAGAACTGGGTAAAGTGACCAGTTCTTTTTCAAGAACTGGGCCAAGCGACCAGTTCTTTTTCAAGAACTGGGTGTGGGTTTGGGATGGGTTTTGTGTGGATTGGGTTAGGTGTTGGTGTGTGTGCGTATAAGTCTTCTCTCAGCATTCACACCTAGGGGTGGGAAGTTACCGTTACGTTTCGGGGTTACCCTTGGTCCACCAAGTGCTAGCATTACAGGTATACTCGGGTCCTCCTGGAGGACCGAAAAGTACCTCCCAATACTTTGACTTCAGGACGTCAGGGTGCCCCCCAATAGTAAGACTTCAGGGGCCAAGGATACTAGCAACACCAGTAATTGTTGGGGCAAGGGTACCACGCGACACTTGCACTGTTTGGGCAAAGACTGCCGCATTACTCTGGCAGTGGTTGGACCAAGGCTACCCTCCTTCCTGGCAATTGAACCTGATGGCATGAAGGTCGGCGCAAAATTTGCATAGGTTGGGCCCACATTACCGCGCCACTTTTTGTGGTGGCTGGGCCAAGGATACCTCCCCTCCCCCCATTTCTGGCAATTCAACCTGGTGGCACGACAGTTCGGTGCAAAATTTGCATCGATTGGGCCCACGTTACCACGCCACTTTTTGCGGTGGTTGGGCCAAGGATACCCGATTCCTGGCAATTAGTCCTGACGGCACAACGGTTTGGTGCAAATTTTGCATTGGTTGAACGCACAGTACCACGTAATAGTTGCACTGGTTGGGCTGAGTGTACCCAGCTATACGAGCACTTGATGAGCCAAAGGCATTTGCTAATACTAGCATTTGAGGACCCAACGGTATCTCCAATAGTGGGGCTTTTCGACACAAGGGTACCCCCAATCGTTGTTCGTGAGGACCAAGGCTATGAGATTGATGATGCTAGGTAGTCCCCTGACCGTTATCTGCGTTCTCGAGTAACTGCGAACGGGGCGTTACCGTTCCCGGTGACTGGGAACTTTTTCGTTATCGCTACCGTTCCCAGGAACGGTGTGGGAACGGTAACTTCCCACCCCTAGTTACAGATCAGTTTCTATCAAAGAACTGGTTGAACAGATCAGTTCCTATCAAAGAACTGGTTGGACAGATCAGTTCCTTTCAAAGAACTGGTAGGCACAGATCAGTTCCTATCAAAGAACTGGCTAGACAGATCAGTTCCTAGAAGAAGAAGAAGAATACCCCGCCTTTCGGCTACCTTGCGGTATAGGGTGCTGTCCGAGGACAGTTTCGAGAAGCCCGATATTTTCCTACATCTATTACTAAATGTAGCTCTGGACAGAAGGCCGGCCTGACTCAGAGTTCTTCTCGCTTAATTTCTTAAGCTCCCCATACATACTGACTAACCACATACTAGTCACAAGGACCATTTAGTGTATGTCAACAACGTAGTCAATTTGTTATCGGATGGGTGATCCGAGACAAAACAGCCGTTAGTGACTTGTCCAAGGTCATTCTATGACTGATGGATCCGAGGTTCGAACACAGTATCTTGTGGATATGTGTCAAACAACTTAACCATTCAGCCATAGCGGCGATCAGTTCCTATCAAAGAACTGGTAGGTACAGATCAGTTCCTATCAAAGAACTGGTTGAACAGATCAGTTCCTTTCAAAGAACTGGTAGGCACAGATCAGTTCCTATCAAAGAACTGGTTGAGCAGATCAGTTCCTTTCAAAGAACTGGTTGGACAGATCAGTTCTTATCAAAGAACTGGTTGGACAGATCAGTTCCTATCAAAGAACTGGTTGGACGGACCAGTTCCTATCAAAGAACTGGTAAGCACAGATCAGTTCTTTTAAAAGAACTGGTTGGACAGATCAGTTCCTATCAAAGAACTGTTTGAACAGTTCTCAAAAACGGAACTGATATGGAACTGTCCAGGGTCTAATTCTGTCTGTTAGTTTTATTTTCTATAATTATCTAATAAAACTTTGAAATAATAGATGGTGTTACAAATAAGATGAAGTAGCCTATCTCTTTCTTTAAACATTTGTTTTTATAGATATCGATATGATGCATTTTCTTTTCTTCTATTTCAAATGGTTCTATTAGTCAATTCAATTTAATTAATATATTTTATATAAAAAAAAAAATATAAACAAATATTTTAAATTGATTAAATAAAAATAAATGATCAAAACACGTGTTTTTTTAAAATATAGTTCAAAATTAATATTTCTTGGTTGAGTTAAATCAAATTAAATAATAAGAAAAAAAGCAAATTTAATTTTTTTTTTCGTTTTTTATTAAATAATCATCATCATTATATCTTTAATTGTACCACTTGCAGCATCTAGTTGAATTTACAAAATTTCTATAACTAAGTACGTTTAGAGAAAAAAATGTCTTAAATTTCTCATCCAATTCATAATAAATCTAATTTGATTGATAAACAAATACTCTATTAATAGTTCATAAAGAAAATTGACCAGTAATTTTTACCTAAGAGGTTATCTATAATAATAGAAAACCAACAATAAATTCATTTAAATTCAACATAATATGGATATTGAAATTGATGAAAAATTTTACTGATGATTGCAGAAGATCTGCTCCATAAGAAAATTTTGAAACTTTTCGGACAGTTAAATATCAGGGTGTAGGGGTCTGACGAGGGAACATCGCCAAGTGTCATGCGAGTTTTCAAGGAAGATTGA